GTGGCGGGGATGGAGGCAGAGCGCGGCACAGCCGAGGAGCCTCTGGGCTGTGTGTGTCACTTCATTCCTGGCAGAACAGGGGACAAATACCCGCTCATTTGCCTCCCACGTGTCGCCCCTCGCTGCAATTCCCAGAGATAATTGCCATCTTCCTGAGCGGGCACCCCACCGGCGGGACCAGCCTGGCTGTGGGGCCGGAGTGACAGCTCGGGGCTCTTTGAAGATGCTGAGAGAGCTGCTAAATATGTAAATCTGAGTACACTGCTGTGGCTCTCGTTTAATGGAGTTTTTGACCCTCTGCAGCCGCGTAGGAGCAGGGAGAGACGGACCCAGTTAAAACCACCCAGAGCAGCATCCCTGCTTGACTATTCCAGCCACGGGTCGGCTTGTGCTCTGCTGGGCTCAGTTTTAATGGGTGGGATTTGCTCTGAAATGCCATTTCTGAAGAGCAGAAGTCTGCTGGGGTGTATTTCTGGTTTGATTCCATGAAAAAAAAACAACCTTAAAAGAGGGAGATAAGGGTGTAGCCCCAGGTCACTTTGCCCATGGCTAGAAACTAAAGAAGGTGCTGAGCTGCCTTGGAAACGTCTCCAGTGGAGCAAAGCCAGCACTGCCTCCTGCTCCGGGCTTCTTTCAGGGCTGCATCTGGTTCATGATGATAATGATGATGCCAACATTTCTTTAATTATTATTTTTGCTGACCTTCCCAGTCATTTCCTTTCTCGGAGCTCACGCCTGGGATAATCCCCCTTTTATTACACAGGTCCTGATTGGGAACAAATAGCACTGGCTTTGCCTATCCAATTTCTTATATAATAGCTCCCAGGGATGGAGGGCTGCGCAGGGGAAGAGATGCTTGGTCTTTGGAGTAAGCTCCTTCTGGCAGAAAACTTAAGTCTGACCCTCCATCCTACAAGAAGCCGGTTGGTTCCCCTGAGAGACTCCCCACCGCGCAAGCCCAAGGGACGATGACGCCTTGCATGGCCGTCAGCGTCCTCGGCACAAAGACAGCGCATCCACGCTCGGCAGGGCTGCCCTCCTCTTCCTACGGGCTCCCGGTACCCTCAGAGAGGTCTGGATCAGGCACAGGACGTTCTCCTTTCCTAGCTAAGTCCTCCGCTCTCCCTGGCCGGCTCGCAGCGGGGACTCAGCCCAGAGCAATCAGCTAAATGCTTTATCCCTCTGCAGGCAGTCATGCCAGGAGGGGGGCGGGGGGGGAAGCCTGATGGGATCCTTTTGCTGGCCTGTCACCTTAAAGCCTCTCACCTCTCCCTGTCTTTCATCTGGGTTATAAACTCCTTAGGATGTCATCACGTGCTCCATAAATAACAAATATATAAGCAGGGGCTGCGGAAGGTGCGGCAGAGAGAGAGGAGGGGAGGCAAAACCCCGGGTCCTCCTCTCCTGCCAGCTGCGGGACGGCACCGCTGGAGCCAGGCGGGCAGAGGAGCGGCGCAGGGTCCCCTCTGGTAAGCACCCACCTTTCTGTCGCATCCCGGTGGTCCTAACAGCCTTGGGGACGGCTGGTGGTCCCGAGGCCAGTGCGACTTGCCAGCCCCAGTGTCCCAGGATGGGGGGCGATTGTCCCAGAGGGGAGGGAGGTCGGTGCGTGGAGCTCAGCTTGCCTGCAAAGTGACTTTGGTGGGGGCAAAAGCGTGACTGTCATCACAGCCCCTGTCCCATCGCTACACCGCCAACACGTTCTGTCAAAACCTGGGTGCAGGGGTTCTTCTCGGTGAAACCCGCCGTGTTCGGGGCGTGGGAAGAGCTCGAGCTCTTTTGCACAGAATATTTGGCTTCAAAACTGGGGGAATAACTCCTTACTACCAACTCTTAAAAATTCAAGCTCCAAATGCAGGCAGGCATTCGTAACATAATAAAAAGGTGCTGTTAGGGTGTTACCGTAGACTTGCCTGTTTATTTAATGTGAGCATCCCTCTGGACCATGCGGATGCTTTGATCTCTAGCGCACAAACACAAGTGGGGGAAAAAATTACAGAGGGGGCTTCTGGTGTGCTGCTGCATACGCACAAACGTTTTGGGCTCATCTCAGGCAGGTCTGGTGAGGAGCTACAGCACAAAATGTAGCCTGGGGTATAAGTGACTTGAACGATATACAGGAGGCTGTGTTGGAACATTGGAAGAGAGATGTCTCCAGCCAGGGAGAGAGGATTTTCCTCCTCACACTGGTTCTCACCTATTCTCTGACCTGGGGGGACTTCCCTCACCTCTGTGGGTCGGATGCTGCCCGGGTGGAACTGCAGTGCGGGTACCCCCGTGGGCGTGCAGGGCTCAGGGTCGGCACCAGGGATGGGCTGGGGAGAGCGGCCGGTTCCTCTGCACTCTGCAGGCTGTATGTGTCATCCCCGCAGAAGACTTTTGCATCTGCAGGCACCTGAGAAGCAAAGCAAAAAGTTCATTTCCAGAAAACAAACACAGATATATCAGCCCTCCAGCTGTATAACCTGTGTTGCCAGGAATAAAGCGCTGGAGGGGGAAAAAATACAAGGAAAACAAGCTAAGGAGCAGCCTTTCCCCACCACTGACTGGTGCTCCAGGATGTTGCTGGTTGGGCTTTCAGGAAATTTCTAAAAATAGCTGGAGGGGTCTGAATCACCTTTCCCAGTCATCTCTAACGGTAACTGAGCAGCCACCAGCAGCAAGAGGTCTTCAACCCTCTCTGAGCTCTGTGGATGTCCCTGTAGAATCACAGAATGGTTTAGGTTGGACGGGACCTTGAAGATCATCTTGTTCCACCCCCCTGCCCTGGGCAGGGACACCTCCCACCAGCCCAGGTTGCTCCAAGCCCCGTTCAACCTGGCCTTGAACACCTCCAGGGATGGGGCAGCCACAGCTTCTCGGGGCGAGAGACTTTCCAGTATTCTGTTCTTTACAGCCCTTATATGATCTGGAACAAAGACCTGCTTTTGCACAGTGACCTGGCAAACAGTGGCTATTGGTGAGCAAACCTCCTGCTCCCAAATTCCCAAGGGCAGCTGGAACACCAGACTCAGCCTGGCCGCTCTGCCCAGCCGTCCCTGCACAGCCCTCCCCGCGCCTGATCCAGCAGCACCCCAAGAACCTGCCCCAGGTTCTCAGCACCACCCAGGATCGAACCACCGTTGCATTTTCCGGGTGCCCAGAGACTACGCTCTTGCCTGCTCTGGGATTTATCCAGGTGGATGAGCCCCTAATCCAATTAGCAGGATGAGGAGTTCCAGAAGATTTCATAATAAGCTCTACAAATATTACAACCCCCCAGAACCCCTCTTTCCCCTCCAGCTCAGCCACCCCTTTACTCCCCCCCTACACAGTTCTCGGGAACATGAACCACCAGTTCCCATCAGCATTTCAGTTAGTCCTTGTGCTCACCCCCGGTGATTAGAACCAGCGTTGGGGATGCTAAATAATTCCCCAGCCAAAGAAACCCCCTCTCCTTGATGGACCCGATCTCTAAGATACACATCCACTGCCAAACGAGCAATTAGTTGAAAATAAATCACGACGACACCCCGTCTCACCCCGCACTGGATAAAACAGGCATTTCAAGCGCCCAGCCCTCGGCATTTCAGGATGGAAAATTCCCAGCTTGCGCCGGTTCTGCCCTGCGCAGTGTTTGTGCTGGTAATGCTTTTGTTTCTATAAATCCTATTAGCTGGAGGCGAGCCTATAATTAGCAGGGAAAGCCGGCACCTCTCAAACAATAATCAAAAATGACCTGGCTTCCCACTGGCTTTGCTGCAAATTGCTTGAATATCGGGCAGAGCGGGGACAGACAGATGGACGACTTGAGGAGCTCTTCCCCCCATCTCTGCCTGCGGGATGCGTGCGCTTAGCAAAGTTTTTCGCTCAGTTTGTAGTTCTCTCTGGATTTATTAACTGGGTTTGCTGGCACATGAAACAGGAGGTGGATTGAAGTCACCGGCTCTGATCCAGGTCGAGGGATTTGGCCGGGGTGTGTGGGATGGGTGCTTCCGGACGAGCTCGGGGGCCGATGACCCTCCCGGGGCAATCAAGGGCTCTGGGGTCCCGCGTTGCAGGTGGCACGTCCTGGGGTGAGCTGCGCCTGGTGGGATCACGTTGCCCAAAACTCCCAGGACAGGAGGCAAAGCCTGGGGGCACCTCACCCAGGCGGGATGCTCGAGGCTTGTGGCAGCAGGAACCCGTTCCTCCTGCCCCTGACCCATCCCAGCTACGTCTGTGAGCACGGACATGGCCTAAGAGCCCACCAGGGGCTAAGCTGTGTCACTGAGCGAGCCGGAAAAGGGATTAAATCCCGGTAGCTCCGGCTGTCTCCGGGAGGCGGCTCTGGCTGCCTGACGTGTCCATGCCGGGGCACCGCGGCGTGCGTACGGTGGGCCCAGCACTGACTCACGTAAAACCACGCAGCACCGCACGGAGCTTTCACCCAGAGATGCTTATTTGGCAGCCTCTCTGCTTCCCACAGCCCCATCCCACCCTGCCTGTCCCCAGGGCAGGGGCTGGCCTTGCCCCCGGGGCTCTCCTGCCCCTCCTCCCGCCCGGCTTTACTGTGTCGGGAGATGCGGGGCAGGATGCCGGGGGGGATGCTCAGCTCCACGCCTGCTCACCCCGGCTCCAGCTCTAACAGCCCTCTCCCTTGCTCTGTCTCACTGCCTGGATGCTGGAAACCGGTCACCGGGCTTTTGTCCCCCGCGTCCCTGGGGCCACGAGTTTGCTACAGCCCACGGCTTGGTGCCAGGCTCCTGCCCTGGCCCCAGCTCTCTGCGACAGCAGACGGGCGATGGGGTCACTGTGGGCGGGTATTTGCTGTGTATATATATATACACACACCTGTGTATAGGAAAAGAGTGGCAAGCAGCCTAATCCTGTGCGCCATCAACAGGTATTTTCGGCGGCTGAGAGCGCCGGAGGAGATTGGCTG